CGCACTAATGATCTCCAACACCCTTTAAAGATATATTTGATCCCTCTTCATGGAAACCTACTCTTACAGATAGGCTGAGGGTTTTAACACAATAGGTTCCCCACATAACTTGGTGTGTAATATTCAGGGAGGACAAGGAAAACATTTCATAGAAAAGCTGCTGCTCTATAAGCCATATATTATCACTTAAGCCCAGCAAAATTAGTTTTTTCTGGATGCGTTCCAGTTTCCAGGTATTTCTCTGGTGCTGTAGCCACGCCCTTAACTTGCTCCCTTCACAGTCCTTTCTCTGCCAGCTGCCTCACCCATCGAGGAAAGTATTTCCTGCTTTTTTTTCCCCACTCTACCTTTGAAATCCATCCACAGGGAAAGACTGACTGCTGCTGCTGCTTGAAATTTGCATCAGAAAGTTATCAAACAAGAATGTTGATTATTTCGTAAAAAGATCTTTTTTTTTTTTTTTTACTGAAATCTACTTTTATAAAAAGGGATTATTTGTAGAGTACAGGAAGTAACTTATTTAAGCAGATGGTTTCTCAAGTATGTTTATTACTTGACAGCTCTGAATAAAGTCTTTCTTGCGGCTCAGCATTCCTCAGGGTTGATCTTTGTAAGAAACTTTCAATCCTCTTTCTGAGTTTCTAAAGAAAAAAAGGCTGTAATGGTTCCAAAGAGCTCAGTCTGGCTGCAAGCCAGAAAAGGAGATGATGGCCTGTAGGTCTTTATTCCACTGAATAAAGAAAGGGCAGAGGCAGGGCTGGCCCAATCAATTAACTGAAAAAGGACACCTCAGGGTCAGTGTGGCGATGGATGGAGAAGGGATACCCAGAATTGCTCAGGGCTGAGCTTCAGTCTCCTGTGCAGGGAGAAACACCAAGGCTGTGCACTGGGTCTGAAGCGTAAAATGGTGCAGAATGTGGCTGTTAAGAAAGCTGATGCTGAGAATGAGGTTTTAGGAAAGCGAATTATTCACATATTTCTGATGATTTTAGATGAAGCATGAGTGTAAGAAAAGCACTAAATAAGTTGTCTCCGAGAGCAGTAACCCGAGATAATTGGTGGTGCTTCATTTGTTCATCTGTGATATCCTGGGTGTCTGTTATTGGACAGCTTTCATGAATGAGGACAAAATGGGGGACCGAGGCAGACGGGAGAGGGATACAGGGGATTCAGCTGGGGGGATGACGGACAGCATTTAGTTTAGCAGCAGTGACAGAGCTTCCTCTTTGGGGAAATTTGGTAGCCCAGACACATTCCAGTTTAGTGTTTCGTCTGGAGGGTCAGTCGAGTTATTGACAAGTAGACCAAAGCAGGCCCCAAAGTGGAAAAAGGATCACTGAGATAAAATAAACATTACTTCTTCTCAAGCTCCTAGGGGGGGGGGGAAGACACAATAAAGGATCAGCCAAAATAAACAGATAAAGATGTTCAACTCCCAGTGTGCTTCTCCTTGAGTTTCCTATTGAGGCTGAAAGAACTACCTATGGAATCAACACACACAAAATATGTGGTATGATAACTGATCATTAGCCAAACATGATACTGACAAATACGTGACAAATGAATATTTGGTTTTCATGAACAAAGAAGAGATGATGATGATCATAACAACAATAGAAGCCGCCGCCACGTATTTCCGGGACACCTGCCGCGAGCCAAGCGCCACCGCAGTGCTTTGTAGACTTTTCTCTACGACCCCAGAAACATTGGGAACCTCATTTCACAGGTGAGGAAAGCAGCGTTCAAACGAGGTAGGCACCTTTGTAAAAGAGAATAATGGAGATTTCCAGGTTTTTTTCTTTTAACATATAAAATATCATTTACATGCAATTGATAAAGGACCTTTTTCTCTCGAAATTATCACCAAAATATTGAACTATCAATTTCTTCTTTGCTTTCACTTCTTCTATAGAAACGTGCTGCCTGACATCACAAATGGAGATTTGCTGCTTTATAATTTAATCGTGGAGGAGAATTTTTCTGAAGAAAGAACGGATTAGAGTCTGATTTGATCCGACTTTTTATGAACTTACAGAAGGATGAGAAGAGATGGAATGAAGTCTGAAGAAAAAACGCACGTACATCTCACGGAATATCTGATACAATCTGGAAGGTTCGTGGTAGAGAAAACAAAGGGGTGCGACTGAAAGAACAAAAAAAGTTAACTGACAATATTGCAGAACTACTACAATTTTAAAAGTAAGTTCATAAACATGAAAGGATAAGTCAACAATTTATAGTAATACTATTTATTCATAGACAAGTTTAAATAGGGAAAAGTTTTGAATCAATTTTTAAAAGATGTAAGTATTATAACTGGAAAGAAATACAGCAGCTAAAACTGAGATGGTAAAATGCTACCTGGGGCTCCTTAGGGATGACTGATGGTTATTCTACTGGTTCTGAAGTATTTGCGGATGCTTAACATATTTTTCTAAAATCGTGTATACGAGTATATAAACTCTTTATCAAACGCTTTACATCATGTTTCCCTAGTGAACACTTTCCCCTCGGGTGTGTAAACCTTAGTCCATTTAAACAAGCAAAAATGTGAACAGGCAGGAGTTGACATAGTTTGTACTCTGAGACTTGTTAGAAGATTTAACGTTAACTGCCTTCCAAATCACTCAAGTACACCTGCTAAGAACTATTCACTTGAAAAGTTCTTGCAGTTAGAATCATTGAAACAGGATAAAAGGGCTACCATTTTTATTATTAGAGGTAAAAGTTCATATGCTTAACCTGTTTAGGTTTTCTATTTTAAATTCCTCACATATTTATAAAAGAGAAATATGCTGAAAGGTCACTATATCATCATGTATTACATTATGAAATTTTGGTTGCTCAAGAGAATGAAGCCGAGAGCCCTATAATTTGTGATTTCTCCAGACTACTGGTATGTATGCACAGCAACAATAACATTAAACCATTCATCGTCCTGATCAGCACCATCAAGCATGGCATGATGCCAAGTTCCTAGATGCTTTGAGTCCTTTTCTTTGTATGCGAGTTTTAAAAGCTTTATATTATGTCGTTCACCACGTTTGTCTGATGGTGGACACTGAGGGGCTTTTTACGGAAAAGTGTTCATTTATTGCTGATTCTTTTTATGAAAGTAAAACAGCAAAGTATTTCTGTTTAGCCTAAAGGTTAGGGGTAGCAATAGTGGGAACAACCACCTTCAGTAAGTTCATATGTAATGTGGAGCACAGCAGAGAGAATACTCAATGGTATAGTAACTGGTACATATGTTGTCGGCGGGGGACTAGATCGGGGGAGGGGGTTATCACTTTGTGAGGGGTGTACATGTCTAACTACTGCAGTGTTTTGTACACCTGAAACGAATAAAAAAATTAAAAAAATTAAGTGGTGTTAGGTAGCGCATTCTTCCTCTGCTAATCTTCATTAAGCTTCTCGCACCCCTCCTTCAATGACACGGGAGGCCAGGAAAGCACTATTAGGCAGAAAGAATTTTCCTCTTCCTGCAAAGGCTCTTTCCACTGGTCTAATAATCAAACCAACATGAGACATATTAACAGGAGAAAATCAAATTCAAGTTCATACATACAGGAACCCTACATACGAGTCAGAGACCCCACATGCAGGAGAGGTTCAGAGACGGAAATAGAGGGACACGTGATCCTCAGAGCTAAGGAATGAGAAAGGGGCCTGAGGCTTCAGGGGAGAGGAGGGTACCTCACAGGGTGATAAGGAGAGCACATGTTCAGTAAATAGATGTGTGCCCTGACATACAGACAGGTCATCACAATTTACTTGTGGTCACAATTCTTATTACAGGCAAGAACCCTAATCTAAATTCTTTAGGGGAGAGGTCAAAGTTTCTCTTGAGCCCACAGGGTCTCAAATGCCTTTAGCTCAAGACAGTCCTTATGCCAAAGTAGCATGTCTTGGGGGGCCGGTTCTGAACCCCTTCAGCACTCAGGGCCCTCAAGCTTGCACACGTGTTTTCCACGTGGACCTCAGGGTGACAGAATGCTTCAGAGTAATTGTTGTGGTGCATCCCACTCGTCTGGAGAAATCATGAACTCAAACTCAGTGTGGTCCCTCGCTTCACATGCTTTCTGATCTATTATTTTTTCAAAAAACTTATGAGCATTAGTCCAAGAATGTAAGCAACCTCACTTTACACCAATGAGAACTAAATATCAATGTGTATCTCTAGTTTCCATTGGATTAGAAACGATAAACCACAGAACCACTTTCACAGTATGTTCTAACACTAATTTGTCCATCTGACCCATTATGATGGCTCTTTATTTTATTTTCATTGGACATACAAACAAATACTAAACTCAATGTTTAAAACTGTCCACAATAACTTGTTAAGTGTGTGGGTGATGTGATATAAAGTGCGATCTTCATGTTTAATTTTCTAAAGTATAAAAAAAAACAGTGACTATTTTAAAGCCCAACTTACCATACATTGAAAATCCATGAAAAGGGATTACACCTAAGAAAACAAAAAAGTATTTTTTTTTCAATTAGTACACCCACTGAATTATTGGGTAAACTTTAGAGGATTAAAACTGAAAATAGAAAGTTTTCCTATTTTTGCTTTAGCTTTGTTCATGAATGTCAGAAAGACTTAGTGATGGTAACTAACAAGGTATGCTTTTTTAATATCTTTAGAAAAGCAAACTAATGGTTTTCAACATATACCCAGTTAGCTTTCTATTGATAATGTTTAAAAACTAAAACTTTAAATATATGTTACAAAAACAGGGCAAAAACAGAACAAGGCAGATCACAGAACTAAGTTTAAGAAGTAATTATAATGATTTCAGAAAGTCAATAGATTATGTCTTTCCTAAAGCAACTTCATCCTGTATATTTGAATTTAATCGTTAAAGAATAAGTGAGGGGGCCGGTCGAGTGGCTCAGTTGGTTAAGAGCTCGCTCAAGAGTGCAAGCTCTGAGCAACAGGGTTGCTGGTTCAATTCCCGGCCCGAGCTGACCTGCCGCTGAGCTGCCAACAGGTGGCAGGATGGCTCAGCTAAAAAAACAAACAAACATACAAACAAAAATAAGTGAGCATTTCAAAGTACCTCTTGTATACAGGAGTGCCAAAAAAATGTATACACGACTTGTATTCATTTTTCGTTAGCAGTATATATTGAGTATTACGATTTTAATACAGCTTTTTTCTTTCTTAAAATGTATATGCTTTTTTTTTGGCACCCTCTGTAGATGTATTGCTTTGTAAACTTACCAAAGATTATATCATAGAATGTGGTTTAGAAAAAATATAAATTTGCAGGAATATGGTATAAATTCAGTGTAATCTTTGGCAAGAATCATACACAAGTAAATGACACATCCATTTCAAAGAAATACTCAAAGCCTCACTTGGTGTCCTAAACGTCTTGTTGCATTGTAAGTGAAAAATCAGAATTTGTACAGCTTAGGTTCAAAACAGAAGTCCTGTAATATACACACACGGTATACACAGTGTGTATCTAACACTGTGCCAAATCAGGTTGCAAACACAGTACGGAAGAAAGCTGAGAAGTTCACTTTTTTGAAAAATAGTACAGAAATGCTTTATTTATCTGACCTGTTCAGAAGCAAAAACTCTGTGTTGGCGGGGACTCCAGAGGCGATCCACAGTGAGTTCTAGTAAACGAGTGTTCAGTCTCCACTTAAAGCACACCCAGCCATAGGCGATGCGACAACCAACGCGACAACCAACCCTAATTCTGAACAGGCTTAATTTGGGGGTCATTTTTCATATGGAACCCACCTCTGCCTCCCTGTAACCTCACTTGTTACTCCTAGTACTGAACACAACGGTCACACAGAACGCGTCTAATGTGTCTTCTTTGAAAACGTTCAGAAATATGTGAGGACACTGCTCTCTCCCGCCACCCCCATCACTGCCAGGTTTTTAATTTTATTTTGCTCTAAGACTTTAAGAGTTTCTTTTTTAAAAAACATGGTTTTTCAATTATTGAAGGCCTTATGAGTTTCTTGAATGGTTCCTCAGAGAAAGTCGTCCTGAATAGCTCCCTTATTGCATTTTCCTCTGGGAGCTGCAGTTCACCAGTCCTTAAAGTGAGGTGACTCAGGCATCTCACGTTTCCTCTCTACACACCACACAGCGAACACATGGTGCGCTCGTGCAGCTGTTGGTCACCTACGTAAATCATTACATATTCTTATCTCTATTACATCTCTTATTCCATTCTTCTTTGCTGAACCATTCCAGTTTGAGACTGGGTAAGTTTCTTAGCTTCTCTAAGCTTCCATTTCCTCATCTGTAAATCAGAGGTAATGCTGGAGCCTACACAATATGATTAAATGAAATAATGGATGTGGCGTAGCCATTAATAAATAAATACCGTGGGCCCTTGACAGAAGTTCTTTGTTGATATCATTCACCAATTAGCTCCTATTTCTTTGTTCTTTCCAGAAGTAATTTTATTAGCGAGAGTGAGGAAAATCCAATATTACCCTGACCTAGTACGCCAGGGCGTCTGTGCAGTTAGGCTTCACGAGCTATAATTCTCAGCATCCACCTTTCCCCATTTTTCCCTGATCTTCTAGAACACACCAGGTTCACATTGTCCAGCCTTGGCTGAATCCCGCGCTGCTTATTCATTTGCTCGCTCATCTCTGTTTGACCAGCCGCCCCGTTCTGTCCACACTCTTCTATTCTTCACGCAGTCACAGACCTCACTTTCCTCCCGACTGGGAGGCTGATGGCACTGACACAAGCTCCCTCACTGGTCTGTTCTGTACCCCGAATGTTCTTCACATTTCATCTGTGGTCTCTTCTCGCTTTAGGGAGGTGTCAGAGGAAGGTGTTTCCTTTTTCAGAAGTGACATCTTCACTCGTGTTCTTAATCCCCTTTCCTTGGCTTTCACGGCAGCTGGCAAGCCACTGTCAGTTCCGTGGATTGTTTTTATGTGGCCTGTGAGCTACAAATGGCTGTTATATTTTTAAAGGATTATGTAAACAAACAAAAAAGAAGACTATGAGACTGAGATTGTTTGTGGCCAGCAAAATTTCATCTACTTACCATGTGGCCCTTTACAGGAAAAGTTGGCAGACCTGCTTTGAAATCCCGCGCCCACCCAATTCTCTCCTCCCCCGATTGATGTGCATTGCTCAGCAAATACGTATGAATCCCATACTATGTGCTAGACCCTCTTCTGACAACTGGAGCTTACTTTTCATTAGGGACATAAAATCATGCTAAACTAAGCAAATGTATGTCAGATGGTGATAAGTGCTCCGAAGAGAAATAATGGCGGGGTAGGAGGGACAGGGTGGGGGGCGGAGGAGGCCTTACTGATAAAAGGGCCATGGGAGCGATGGAGGTGAGAGTCACTGGATAAGGGGTGACCTGGAGGCCTTATCCAGGGCTGTGTCTGATGAGTGCCATAAACGGGGGTGAGTTTACTGAGGTGGCTGGTCTTGAGGCAGATAGTGGTGGCATCTGGTCTTCAGTCCTACTGACGGGGGAGTAGGGACAAGGCGTGGGGAGGCCTTATCAAAGTACTCGTATGGCCAGTCTCTGCTACTCCACTGCACCCTTTCAGCCAGGGGTAGTATAACTGATTATAAATACCCTCAACAACATAATTCAAAGTCCATTTTTCCCCCTGGACCCTGCTTTCCCATCCATGAAAAGGGATTACACCTAACAAATCCAACAAATCTCTACTCTCTCTCCTGCCCTTGAAGCCAAGCTTAATTTTTTTGAAAATCATCTAAGGGCCGGCCGAGTGGCTCAGTTGGTTAAGAGCTCACTCAAGAGTGTGAGCTCTGAGCAACAGCGGTTCGAGTCCCGCCCGAGCTGAGCAGCTCGCTGAGCTGCCAACAGGTGGCAGGATGGCTCAGCTAAAAAAAAAAAAAAAGAAAAAAGAAAATCATCTAAATTAGCTTCCTTACTTCCTCATGATTACCCTCAACTCCTGTCAGCTGGTTTCTACCCTTATGGCTCCAACTTCTGATTGCTGAATTCGGGGATCTCCTCTCTGTGTGGCCTGGCCCCAGCAACTGAAAGCTCCTTCTCAAACTTAAGCCTACGAGGCACGGGTGACACCAGGCAGGTCAGGCTCCCTGAGGCTCCCAAACTTCTGCTGTGCAGTTTTTGGTTTCTGTTGTGTTTTTGGCTGGTTCTCTCTTCAGCCCGCTCCTTAACGGTAGCTACTGTCCTGGACCCTGTTTTCTCTCTCTTTCCACCAGCATCTCATTATTAACCTGTAATTCAAACCGGAAAAGCCCAGGATCCTGGGCCACCTTTGGAATTTTCTTTCTGTAAAGAACTCCTGACCTCCCTAGGTTTTCAGGGAAGACAGCCTTGCGCCACCTTTGCTTTCTAGGTCCCCTTCAGCCCTTATATCGAAATATGGGAAACAAGGTGCTTAACTTTTCAGGATTTGGCCAAATCTATCATCAGGAGCTTCCTTTTTCTTCCCCAACCCAGGAGCACAGCTCTAATCCTGCCAAAGTGATTGCTACCCCTCCTTCAGCCTCTGGGGCTTAGGATGAGCGCTGTAGGCAATGGCCTCCTCCACCTCCAGCCCTGTCCCGGCCTCACCCCTTCAAGATTCTGAACCACACCCCTCCTAGAAGGCTCTCCCTGGCTCCTTCCTCCTTACCCCCAATCAACTCACTGATCAGTGTGCTTGTGTCAACGGACTTGCCTGACTGACTGAGGGATCCCTTCTCCTCTACGCACCTAGACAATCCTGCACAGTTTTGGCTGTGCCACTTTCTACAGGTGCTCACTTAGGCCCGCTCGTTAACCTGTTTCCTCACATGGCACTGCTCTCAGATCAAGGTGGCGGTGGGAGGGAGGGAGGGCTTAAAGTGAGAGCCCTGCTCTGGCCTGCCTCTGAATACCCCTCACCCGGAGCCCATGTCCCTCCTTTCAGACTACAACCCAGGTACCCAGGACTTTGCAATTCTCGGCCCAAAGGCCCCTAGCCAGCTTCCAGAATCCACATGCCTCTGTGGTGGAGCCACCTCCCTAATGAAAGGTGGCCTGAGGGTGGCTACTTGTGTAAGGTGTGAACAGAGCTTGGACCTAGTAGGTCGCCATGCTTGAGGCCTGTCCAGGTGTGGGGTGGAGCCATGCATGAGAAGGGGTGGGGGCTCCAGGAGCCAGGGACTGCTGAGGGGTCTGAGAATCTGAATTTGAACCTGGTCTTCCAGATTGTTATAAAGACATATCTGTCAAGACAAGAAAACAGAGTAGACTTTATTATCAGTGTATTAGTCTGATTTATAACTTCCAAATATCTAGACTTAAGGTAGGTGAGCCTCCACTTGTCCCCCTGGCTGAGTCCTACAAAAATTAAGACTAGACCTGTCTTCACCTATAAAATGGGGGTAATACCAATGAGGTTGTGAAGATTAAATAAGATACGTAATGTGCCTCTCACAACACTTGACGCAAAGGCAGCACTTAACAACTGGCACTTTCCTACTCCTATAACGTCTTGTAACCATTTTTTGTTTCTCTCTCCTAAAAGAATAAACTCCTTGAGTACAGAAACTATGCTTTATTTATCTCTATCTCCAGAGACAAGCTTAGTACCCAGAATATAATAGGTGCTTATTAAATGTCTATGTAATGAACATATGAAACCCTGGAGAATCTACCTCTACCATGTTTCAACCATTCACATTCTTCCTCCTGCCAAGGCCTGAATTCAGGCTCTGAGGAATGCTTGCTGATGGGCCTGCATGCGCCTCCTCACTGAGCTCCCTCCCCCGGAACTCTCAGCCCTCCAACCAACTTTTGTAATGATTGAGGTTATCTTCCCAAAATGTTAGAGGCCATGAAAAAGACCTCTACATCACATCCACAGAGAGTTTTCCACTGACCATTCATCCATCCACCAAATATTTGCTGAGCTCCTATTCATCAAATTAACCAATGTTAAAAAAACTACCCTGTAGCCTCTGTAGATATTAAAATTAATATATTTCCTCTATGTTTATAGAACTCATACAATTTTACTGACATACAGTATTATATTAGTCTCAGGAATACACCAAAATGATTTGACATTTTTATACATTGTAATGATCACCACTATGTCTAGTTACCATCTGTCATCATAGAAAGTTAATACAATAGTCCCCATGCTGTACATTATGTTACTATGACTTACTTATTTTATAACTAGAAGTTAGGACCTCTTGCTCCCATCCTCCATTTCGCCAACCCCATCACACCTCCCTTTTGTCACACCATCCTGACTCCATACCCACTGTGGTATATAGCCCATGGTTCAAGATTATTTATCATCACCAAAACTTGTCATGTACTTCCATACTTTGGTAGCTTTGAACCTGATAATTCTGTATCCAAAAATACTTTTTTGTTTTCTACTAAGCCTATAAAAATCTCACAAAGGTCAGGTACAACCTCAGAGAAACAGCCTGATCTTTTAATCATAATTAAATGCTTATTCTTTTGCATTCTCATGGCATTTTGTTCATATTTCCATCACTGTAATTTCATTATATTTTGTGTTATAATTAGCTATTTAAGAGATTGCTCCAGAGGACAGGAAATATGTTCTATTCATCTTTGCATGCATTTCATGATGCCATAAACACAGTCGATGAATACACGTTTGCTGAATAAATGAATGGGTAGATGAATGAACAAATGATGAATAGAGAAGCAAAAAGAGAAGCACTGGTGACTACTCAGGAGATCAGGATTCCATGGTGGGTTCACCACAGACCAGCTGGGTAACCTCAGGAAAGTCATTGAACCTTCTGAGGGTCACTAACTGCTTGTCATGCAAAGACTAAGATTGTCTCTGAAATATCTAACCCTAAAATTCAATGTTTAACAATTATGTTTAGAGCAGCGGTTCTCAACCTTCCTAATGCCGTGACCCCTTAATACAGTTCCTCATGTTGTGGTGACCCCCAACCATAAAATTATTTTCGTTGCTACTCTATAACTGTAATTTTGCTACTGTTATGAATAGTAATGTAAATATCTTTTTGTTTTCCACAAAAAGGTGACACCTGTGAAAGGGTCGTTCGACCCCTAAAGGGTTGCGACCCACAGGTTGAGAACCGCTGGTCTAGAGCAAATGCAGAAAAAATTGTGAGATCTGAAGAAAATGACATATGAGAATCTTTCAATGGTAAGATTCTTTACTAATTTAAAAATCTTTTGCTTTCCAGGTACTGAAAAACATCAAAACCAGATTAGATCCCCATTAAAAGTCAATATTCCCAAAGGCACTAAAGCCACCAGCTCTAGCTCCATGGAGCACTTAGAAGGAGGCCCCAACACCATATTTCTTCTTCAAAGTCTCTCTCTCTCTCTTTCTGTCTTTTGCTGAGTCTCTTTCTTCCTGTGGACACCTATCTTTTCCTGCATTCTCTGTCTGCTGCTTCATTTTATTTCCTTTAACGATTACAGACTTTTAACAAATAATAAAAAAAAGTCTTTTCTAACTTTCTACAGTAAGCATGTTGATGTATGAAAGAAAAATAAGTTAATAAATAGAAGGCATATTTTGATGCCTTACAGAAATATAAGTGTATATTATATTTTTGTAAAATACTAAATCTCAAAGCAGATTACTATTATTATACAAAGTCCCTATAATCTTACTGCAAAAACTTTTCCTTCCACTGTTAATGTACTGCAGGAGCATTGCACGAGCTGGTTAAGGTACTCAGAAATGAAGGCCTTGCTAGTATTATTTTCATCTTCTACAAATATTTATTAAGGATGTGCTAAGTGTAGGCACACCTTTGTCAGCACTTTTCATTAGGGGGCTTACAGTGAATGAATCAGTCAACCGTCAAGCAACAAAAAGGGAGGCATGTATTAAGGTGACTCATGGTCAATCACACTTCCATTGCGTTTCCTCCAAGTTCTGGAATCTATAACTGTTCTATAAGCTGCATGAGGCAAGGGCCACAGTTCACACTGTGTATTACCTTCAGCATCCAGAACAAGCATTCTACAAATGAGGTGCTCAATACATGTGGTTAATGATGGGAATTTAAGCAATTATAAATATACTCAAGGCTTGTAAATAAAATAAAGATTCATTTATAAATAATTAACACATAGGACAGGCGGCTCTAAATAACTCAGTGTTGAATTATAAATGGCCAACAAAGTCATAGACATAAATTCAAATTCTGTATAACTCTGGACAAGCTACCAGCACTCTGAGTCTCTATCCTCATTTGTGAAAATGGCGATAAATAAGCCCAACTCCCCTGGGTTGTACTAAGCACCAATGGGTTACTGTGTTTAAAGTGCACCAGTGTAGTATTTAGTGCACACCAGATGATCAATAACCGTAGCTATTTTACGAGGTCTGACAATTAAGTTCGTGAACTTGTTGCAATGATGTTGCTAACTTTTTTTGATATCAGAGGGATTATTCATTATGAATTTGTACCAACTGGACAAACAGTTAACAAAGTTTACTATTTGGAAGTGCTGAAAAGTCTGCATGAAAAAGTTAGACAAAATGACCTGAACTTGTCACCAACAATTCATGGCTTTAGCATCACGACAGTGTACCAGCTCACACGGCACTGTCTGTGAGGGAGTTTTTAGCCAGTAAACAAATAACTGTATTGGAACACCCTCCGTACTCACTTGATCTGGCCCCAAACGATTTCTTTCTTTACCCA